TCTTCTTCTGGCACCAAACGACTAAGACGGACTAAAGGTGGAGGGTCTCTTTCTTCTTCAAGTTTCAATTTTTAAACGTTGGAGTTTTGAATTGGATTGAAAAATTTAATCTTTCTTAAGAAAAAAACATCACACGTTTGTGATTTGCGAAACGATTAGAAGGCAGTTAAAAAACGGTTTTACGTCGCCAAAGAGGTGGAAGGATTGGGAGCGGAAGCGGTTACTATCCAAGAATCAGGAGCCAAAGGATGCTTAAGCCATTTTGTTCTCTGTCTGGTGTTTTCCCTTGGAAGCAAAGCAACTTGGGTTCCCTAGTTTTGCCAACCACAATAAAAAAATTGCACAAGGAACAGAGCTCGCAGTTGGATATTTGCAAAAGTAATTGACAACTTTAAATAAATGAAAAATGGAGACTGAGACACATTGGAATATTTTTTTGGAGATTTTATTGTATTTATTATCTTGACAACCTCTCTCCAGGCTCCACACAGTCACTACAAAGCATGTGATTATTTTGCTTGGAAGTAGCAATAATGTTGTTTTTCCAATTGATCTTAGTTGTCACTTAACAAAACGAGCGTCTGTCAAATATTTCAGTTGCTATAGGTTTCCGTGCTAATTAGACGTTTCTCTTTTAATTTACTTTATTTTTGAGGTCGTTGCCAATCAGGGCAAAATGATCTGGACTTATCTGGACTCTGCTCAGGTGTTCCCAGACTCTGGTAAACTCGGGCTTTGGCTTTCTTGCAAGTTGAGATGAGATGAGGGCAACTTGATGTTGATACAAACTAGTTGCTTGTTGGCGTTCTTTGTTTAAAGCTGCAATTATGCTTCTTTTACTTCTTTTTTGGTAAAGTGAATTACGTATGAATTGAGTCAATAAATCTAGGGACGCATTGTTTGTGCAAATAATCTCACGGGAGAATATTCGCTTCTAGATCATTCAACCTTCGATCTTCCTTCTCTCTCTTTCTCGATTCCTGTAAAACATATTGGAGTAAATAGACCACATCCGGGGGTGTTGGCCAAAGGCCCTCCGATGCCTAAGTTAGTTTGAGTGTGAACCGGGCGGCCGGAGCCGTGTGTGGTGGCCGGAGTCATGTGGAGAAAATATGGAGAGTGGAAAGGGAGAAAGAGAGAGCTTCGGGTATTTTTCTCGGGTATTAGGAGTAGGTTTAGATGTACCTTGAATGATGAATGAAGTCATCTATTTATAGGAGCCTCGGGGCTAGGGTTTCGTAGAGAATATGCTGAGTTTATTTTTTACCCAAATTCGTAGGGATCGAGTCGGACTGAGATAATATCTGATTTAATGATATTATCTCTTTTTATGGAGATAATATCTTAATTAAATGATATTATCTCTTTTTATGGAGATAATATCTGAGATAATGACATTATCTTCTCTTTATTAGGATAATATCTTAATTAATGATATTATCTTATTAAATAAAGATAATATCATGTTAATTAAGATATTTATCCCAATTAATTAATTGGCCAGATAAACTGGTTCAATTAATTAATTAAAAGAGATAACCTTCTTTTCCACGTGGCGCGTTATGATTGGAGACGAAAATATCTGCTCCCACACGCATAATTGCAATGGAACCATGATTAGTGTAGAACTAACATTATATAAGGCTTTGGGCTGGGCTTTTGTGTAATGGGTTTTTTCAACATCTAATGGGTTTTCGTCAAGCTGCTGGAAGTGCCATGTAACCCAAGAAGAACTCATTATTTTCAATTCGGCATTGCTGTGCTGTGAAAATAATTGCTGTCAGATTTGCTCCCAAAATTTTTAAAAAATCACTTATGACCCTAAACGGACACTAAATATCCAATTATTCGAAAGATATAAAATGTATTAAAAAAGGAACATGGACTAAAGAGAGAGAATGTGATGTTTGGAGGTGAGAGACGATAGGCTTACAGATTAGATGTGGGCTTATATAGTATCAATTAGGGTTTTCTGCAGAGTTACGAAACTACCCTTTGTCATTTACTATTCTTGCTTAAATTCCGGTTCGTCAACACGCGACTCCAACTCGTTTTTCCTATGCATTTGTTATCATCTTGACCGTCCAAATTTATCTAGCGATCACGAATGTGCCACGTCATTTAAGTGTTTTAATCCATCAGATAAAACTCCTTGCAGTGTTACAGTCGACAACTCCCTTCCCTCCTCCCTCATCTTCCTCCCTCTCACTTCAGACCCAAAAAAAAATATATATCTTCCTCCCTCTCACCGACATCCCTTCACATTTCTCCTCTGCCTCACCAAAATCAAATCAAATTAAGATTGAACCATGACATACACATGCAGTATGCAACAAATATAAATCCTACATAACAAACCCTAAATTAACCTATCTCTCTCTCTCTCTCTCTCTCTCTCTCTCTGCATTATCACGAAGAAAAGCAAGCAAACAGTATCTATCTCGATCGGCTCCGCACGTAAGTTTTTCATTCATCAATCTGTCGAATGCTTAATTTGCTTTACTTTTGTTTGTTGTTTCCGTGAATTCATCACCTCTACTTGCTTTGTTTGTTTGTTGTTTCCGTAAATATACATCTAAATTAAATCCTCATTTGATTTTCGTTGTTAACTCGATCGACTGCACACTAATTTAGGTTTAAAATTCGTGCCTCCAGTCCACCCTTACTTAAGCTACCTTACCCAGGCAATTAACAAATTAAATATACTTCTTTTCCTATTACATTCCTTGTTGGAGAAGGATATTATATTCCTTGTTGGAGAAGGATAGGGATTGTCATCCTCATTGATTTAGGGATAGTTAACTACAAATATATATATACAGATACACATACATACAACACCTTCAGGTTGGATTTGAGTCTGACAACGACTCCTACGTACTACAGGTCATCATTACAGGCTGCTTGCTGATAGTGATACACCCACCCACCAACCAAGGCACAAAGCATGAGCAGCATATTAGCTGCTGCCCAGTTATACGCACGGAGAAGGGGCACCTCAGCTGCTGCTTCCGAAATACAGAGCATCAGCAGCTCAACTGGTGCTTCCGAGTACTGTTTTTTATATACCGGTGTGAATCAAAAAGAAGATGTAAGAATCTCATTAGACTCAATTCCCAGGGACAGTTTCAAAATCTGTATAGATTATCAAAAGATAACTCGAGTCTTCCTTTATATTGCTGGTGAGCATCGTCGAGTAGAACTTCCTTATGCTTCTACATATCACCTCCTTGCTGAGAGGAGTTTCTATGTCCCTATGCGTGATGTCAAGCAATTTTCATCAAGGCCTAAATGGACGCATGTCTTGGCTTATCATCTTTCCAAGATGGGTGTCCCACAAGGTGCGCAGCCAGCTCTCATTGTAAGAATACTTGACTACATTGAAGAGGCCGACAACCACAGCGTTGAGTTGCCAATTCTTGTGCATATTGTGGATGCCACTTATCACTATCTGAAGTCGGACCACAACAACGACATCCTTGATAGGGTTATGAGGCAATCCTCGGAAGCATACAGGGCCATGCTTATTCCTGCAGCTCAATCATCCATTCAGGGCTTGGAGAATGTGAGGCTTGATGATCCTACTTTGGCCCCGTTGTCCTCATGTATTATTTGTATGGAGGGCCTCCTCCTTGATCATCATGATGATCATCACTCTGATCATATTAATGCCGTCCCTGCTTCTCAAGATGATCATCATGATCAAGATCAAGGTCAAGGGGTTGATTGTCGCCATCCACCAAGGACGATCAAACGCTTGCCCTGCTTACACCAATTTCACGAAGATTGCATCGTCCCGTGGCTGCAGATCAATCACTTGTGTCCCCTGTGCCGATACCCGCTGGAAGTGCGCGAGTCATCAAAACCCAAACGAAGGAGATTATCATGAAATAATGAAAGAAGACCTGCAGCCATGATGCTCAGCTGGAACAATATATGG